TCATTCTCTTTTTGTTTGTGTTTAACTTGTAACAGCTGAAAATGTAGAAAAGGCTAAATGCGAGACTGGGGAGAGCCTGTAACTTCTAGCCAAAGAACAAAATGTGTCTCATGAAATAGTCATGATGCCGGAGAACATTGCAACAGCCAGGAATAGCATGGCTATGAATTCTGTGATAATACAAAAAGAATCCCTGGTTGATGAATTTGATGGAACTATTTTCAATAAATGCAGCAGATCACAACGTACAGAAAACTCAGTATAAACACCAATTGAAATGTATCCTGTTTGGTAAGAGAGGCAAAGCAGGAAATTTCTATATAAAGTTTTTTAGTGAACTTCTACTGTCTTTAAAAGTCATTATATTTGCATGATAAGCTAGTTTGACTCTATGGTCTAGAATGGTTCAATTTAACTTGCCACAGCACATCTCTTTTTCTTTTATTTACTGAATGACATTTTTCACTGAATAATGAAATATATTTTGAATTAGAAAAGGTGAAGTCCTGCTAGCAAAATCACTCTAGCATTTATCAAAAGCATTAGTATATTTTTATTAGTAGTACCAAAATACTGGGAAGATCATTATTTCTTTATAATGCTGACTGTATTGCATTACATTTCTCAGAGTTTATTACACAGTATTACAATATATTTCCTCCTTATCAAATCAAAATTTTGCACTCAATCAGAGCAGTCTGAAAGATGCAGTAGGTCCATTCAACTGTAGATTTGCTCTGTATCTGATTAATTCTCCACTTATAATTAAGTTGTCATAGCAATGCATTTTTATTAGCACTGATTCATATGCCAGTAATGTTCTGGAGACAGAGCTCTTGATAGTTTTTTAATACTCAAAAATGCGTAATTATAACATTAGCAAATACACAAGAACTGGTCAACTTGCTTGAGCTGAAGAACATGTGATCTGACTTAAAATAGGCCAAAGCAAAATCTGGCATACATTACAGAAAGCAACACAGAATTTTGGGTGGCTCAGCTCAAGAAAATAAAGGTATATCCTACATCTGTTTAGTTTTCATATTGAAAATGCCTAATGATAAAAAAATTACTCAATGATTTAAAAAAATTAGGTGATTACATCTTACTAGGCAGAAAGAAAATTTAGTGTTTTTTTCTAAAGCTGCTCCTTTCGTATATTGGTACCTATATGGTACACTAGGCAGCTGCGGAGAATAATTATTGTTAATGGGAAATGGCTGTACTTTGTTGATGCTGTTTTAGCATGTCTTTCTCTATATATTAGTAACAGACAATTTAAATTACACTTATTTATAAGGTTTCAAAATAATAGGAAATCATCCTCTGAGGACTAGGACTGTATTTTCAAGGCACTTATAGCAAGTGTCCACACGCATGAATCTGCGAGAACGAGACAAGAATCATGAGCAAAGAATATTGCCTGATATTTCACTCATTTTTTTAATTCAGAATGTGAAGAATAATGTGCATTATGTTCTAGCATCAGGTAAAATGTGAGTCAAAGAGAGATGAAAAAAAATAGTGTTAACTTATTTCTGTGGCTGAGAAAGGAGGAAAATAGAAAAAAGAGAAATTATTTTCCTCATGTCTCTGTAAAAAGCACAAGGCTTAAATTCTGAAACTGCTGGATGAGAAAGGCATTGTGTGGCACATATCCTCTAAATGTTCCTTCAAAGGGCTGATGAAGGGGAAATTATATTATATTGTGAATGTAATAACTGACCTAACTAATATATCTTAATGAAGATGTGTATTGATTTGGTTATGAGGAATGCTTAGCCTCTAAATATATAAATGCAAAATGGTAATTGTTCACTCCGAAGTTTCTGACCTTCCCTGAATGATGTGAGAAACACGCCTGCTTAAGTCAGACTCTGGAAGCTTGCAAGCAAGGAAAAGGTATGCAACTACTAGAAATTTAACATACAGTAAATTTTAACCTAAGAGTCAAAAATTAAACCAAAAAAAGGGGTTTTGAACTGAAGCACAGTTGAAATCTAACAACGGCAAAGAAAAAGTTACTAAGAGAACTGTGGAGTGATGGAGGAAAAAAGAGACTAAATAGCTTAGCAGAACTTTTGCTTCCCTCTCAGTTCTTGGTATATGTATTTTTCCTTAGTATCACCATCATTGGCAAGGTGCAACTAAATGAAGAGAGATTCTACAGTCATTTCTGGATACTGGAAAATGCATGAGCTCATGGAGGAATATGGTTTTATTTAGGCCACAGAGCGTGTTAGACATGGAATACACGTAGAGCAGGAAACAGTGCTCAGTCTACAACCAAACCCTGAAGACTTATGGTCATGTAAGTGATAATAGTAGCATGCTGAGGTTAAGTGAAAGTTGCACCATTTTCCAGCTTTCTAGTCTGTTTTTAATGAACACGACCTCATTCACTCTCTTGGATGTACTCCTAAATATAAGGTACGAACTCTCACTATAGGATACTTCTAATTTAGTTCTTTTCTACTAGACAAAAGCTCTGAACATTTTTGAATCAAATGTTCAAAATAATTGCTTCTCCAGGAGAAAAAAACCAATCCAAACCATTGCACTATATTTTTGCTTTACTTGTATTAATTTTCACATACTAAAATATCGCTCAATAGTAGTAGAAATAGCAACTATGGATGGACTCTGAGATAAGCTGTAAAGAGTGAGCTATGGTGGGAGGCTATAAGACAGTAACACTCTAACTAATAATTAATAATATAATGCACTTTGAAATTATTAGTTGCACCATATAGAGTTGCCGACATATCAGAAGAAAAACCAACCATACTTGTTTTTCCACAGGAGTACCCATAACAAAGCAGATAGCATCAGGTGCCTACAGCTGCAATGCCAGCATATTTATATCTCTAAGACAATAACAAGTGGTGGAGAGATAAACAGGGGTGAAACTTTAGCTGACTTCAACAAATGTCTTTACAAATACGATTGCATTGTCTACATAGAAAAGGCGTTTTTGAAGATCTGAGATTGGACAAGTAAGAAAGAAGAAGGTGTTAAACCCTCAGAGAGGATTCCTACAAAAGACAGTAGAGAGGAATACCTGGCTATTGTCTACTTTCACTGTAGTATTGCCTACTTTCAATGTAGGCTGACAAGGTAGCATAACAAAACTTCTTTGTTCTTGTTTTGGCTGGAATAGAGTTTATTCTCTTCACAGTAGCTAGTATGGGCTATATTTTGGATTAGTGCTGAAAATGGTGTTGATAACACAGGGATGTTTTAGTTATTACTGAGTATCACTTGCAGAGAGCCAAGGCCTTTCTGCCTCTCACCCCACTCCATCAGTGAACAGCCTGGGGGTGAACAAGGAGCTGGGAGGAGACACATGGGACAGTTGATCCCAACTGACCCAAGGGATATCCCACACCATATGGCATCATGTTCAGTATATAAAGCTGGGGGAAGAAGAAGGAAGAGGGAGACATTCAGAGTGATGGCATTTGTTTTCCACTTTCCATAAGTCACCACTATGTGTGATGGAGCCCAGTTTTTCCGGAGATGGCTGAACATCTGCCGGCCAATGGGAAATAGTGAATGAATTCCTTGTTTTGCTTTGCTGACATGTGTTGCTTTTGCTTTACCTATTAAATTTTATCTCAACCCACAAGTCTTCTCACTTCTACCCTTCCAATTCTCTCCCCCATGCCACCAGGTTAGAGTGGCTGTGTGGGGCTTAGTTGCCATCTGGAATTAAGCCATAACAATCTTCCACAAACATCAGCCCAATGTTATGAAAATGTTATTGCCAGGTTCTGAGTGGGCTTTGTCTTTTGAATGCCTTGGTGAAAGGAAGAATAACAATCTACACTGTTACTCATCAAATAAATACAATAGACTAGTCCCCCATTGTTACTCCCACTTATTTCCCATCACATTCCCCTTCAGTGAATAATAAAGCTGACCCTTTCCTCAGACAAGGGATAGATCATCTTGCAAAGGTGTATGTTTGAGAAAAAATGCCTCTCTGCCTGCCTGAAGCTCTGTCTACTTCTCTCATAATGACTCAGAATAATTTCATCCAACGTCATATACAAAAGAGTGCTAGATCTGATTGCTTGGTTCTGCCTTATGATTATTTATCAAATGCAAGACATATAGGCAAAGTAGTGGTAAATAAACGTGACATGTAATATTTTCCCTTGTCCTAGTTTTAAGTCCAAGACAGGTAGAAAGTCAGCCTACAGATGACCAAGAAGACAACGTTTCCAACTCACTTTAAGTTTGCACATTAACTATTAAACAAATCCTTTCCCAAAGTACTTAAATAAAAAAACCTGATGCCAAAGCTTGTCTTGGATCATCATTTTGAAGCTGTAATACAAGTCATCACTTTGAGTGTCAACTGAGATGGGACAAATGTGTGTTTAACTTCATTCAGCACAGAGATTTTTATAGAAAAGGAAATATGCTTTGGTTAATGTGGAAGGTGCTACTAGAAACAGTAAGCTGTTAGTGAAAAAGGAGCAAAACAGTGAGAAATGCTTTTTTCCTTGGCCTACAAAATAAAATTATGTTGTTCATAAAAACCATGAAAACGGACCTTATAACACTATATTCATTTATTGGATAATTATGACTTTGACTCAGTGATTCTTCTATACTTTGCTATCCGAATAATAAAAACAGCCAGACTGACATCATACTTGTGCTGTTATTCAGCAAGCCAAGTTAACCTTGACCACTTCATTCTGTAACACAGACCCTCTCTCAGGAAGGTTTTGAAAAAGGAAATTTTCAGATACCACAGATCTCAGTGTTGCATTGATATGTAACATTAATGTATAGCAACAAACTAATGTCAAAGAGTGAAATGGTGAATAGGCACATTATAACAAAGAGAAAAGTGACAGAGAAGGAAAAAGCCTAGATATTTTAAACAATTTTTTGTTACTATAGCCCAAGGCTTCCTCTTGATTTTTTTCAAGCGGCAATAAAAATTATATTAAATATTTAAAATGTGAACAGGCAAGTTTACTTACTGTTTCCTGGATGCCAGCGCACTGCATTTAAATATGCATTACAGTAATGGAAGAGAAATTCATGCTTAGATCGAGTAACTTTTCCTTGAAGTAAGGGCAGCAGATCACGTCCATCAATAATTCTGAATAGGAAAGCATTTCAAAATCAGAAGAATAACCCAAACCTCACTTTACCGAGAAAGTATTATAACTCTGCACATCTGCTAGTAAAAAAACCCAAAATCTGAATGGCCACCTCCATCTGGTCAAGTCAAAGAAAAACCTTCATGTGCTCTTTCCTTTGATTTTTACATTACTTAAGTAAACATTAATTTTACATTTTGTCATTATGAATGGTTGTTTTCTCAACTCTGTTTTGTTTTTTTTTCTTAAATGAGAAAGTGACCAGATATATGTGAATAAATTGCTACAACACAGTTCCTCACCTGCTCAAGCGTTTGGGAGTAGCCTGGCCAAAGTAATCCTAAAACTAAACTAGAGAAATATATGCTGCGCTCTGTTAGCATCCCCAGAAGTAATGGTAAGAACTCTGTCCAGCATATTATGTATGCCTGAATTTAAGACAGAAGTAGTTCTTTCAAACTTGAAAATCAACTATGTTTAAATATGTATTTATCAACTACAGACAGACTGACAGACACACACGTAATTTGTATATATAGATATGTATATAAATTCTCTAAATGCTTCTAGAAAATTCTGATCATGCACTGAAGGAGTTAGTCAATTTACATAAAAATTGACTTATAAAATAAGTAAGGCTTTAAAATGTTTCCATAAATTAAGCCTTTGAATTGCTGGAATCAGCTGGAAGAGGAGAAATCACAATCTGCCTTTTTGACCTGGTATGAATTACAAATTTTACAATAAGTTTTATAGGAAATTACTTTTTGCTGATATACATATCAGCAAGTAATTCTTTCTCAAACATTTTGAGCAACATCTCATAAAAACTTTTTGAAACTTATAAAAAGTTTAAAAATGTCTATGTTAATTTTCATGACCATAAAACATTTTTCATGTTATTGTAACAAGACAGGTACTAACTTCACTTTTTTAAGCCATAAGCTACATATGATGATTAAATTCATGGCAGCAATTGTATGCAACAGAGCCATTATGAGTAGCACTTTTCTCAAATGGTAGCCAAAAAAACATCCTGGAACTCCTAAAGCTATGTTATCTGATAACTCTGCCTTCTGGGTACATCCTTGACTGTGGGGGTCTGTTGAATTAGAGTCTTTCCCACTTTCAATTTGTCTTGTTTTCTTGCCTGAGTGACAGACTCTTGTCTTGCCCCTGCAGGCTTGCTCATTAACAAACTAAGAGCAGGACAGACACATGTATATTGTACACTTTCTGTTTTAGAGCCTGTTGATAGGGAAAAGGGTATCTCCACTATGTCGCCAGTACTCTTGCATTCCTAGAGCTGCCGGTTTCAGAGTAATATATAAGACTCTTTCTGATGAATAATTTCTCTTCTTTAACTAGAAGCACCTCCTCCTTTTCTTTTTAACCTGCTCCCTCACAGTGACTGAATCCTAATTGTATTAATTTTTTTTACTTCTGAGGAAGAATTCAGTGGAGTAATAGGAATTCAGCTGCTGGATGGAAAATGCTTCAAGATAGTCCATGACCTAACATGAAGCAGTACTTACAGCATCCAGTCTACAGAAGAAGTCTTAGAGAAGAATCAGAGTGGAGCAACCTACAAGTGGAACTTACACAAGTATATTGGGATTTTTATCAAAGAGATCATGGAAAACATCAGTACTTAGTCTCCACTCAAGCAACATGAAAACAAACTGCATAGTATCTGCCACATAAGGACCAATCTGAACTGCTGAGGTGTGACAGTTACCACTTGTAGGGCATTTCTCAGGACCAATCTGACTAATTTTTCATGTCTTACATTTGTCCTACCCTGCCATTTCCTTCAAGCACTCAATGAATCATCATTAGCAGAATGACTCTGCTCAGCACTGGGCTTTCCCATGTGGATTCTCAACGCTTTGTGCTGTTTGTGTGTTGTAGATGTTGAAGGATATGTTTATCAGCAGGTTTCTCTGCTTACTGGATTTGGAGGGCAACAGCACTTAAGTGGAGGTACCTTGCTGCTGAGACTGGGTATCTCCCAAACCAGACAAAGCCTGGGGATGTAGCAGTGTCAGTAAAGTATCTTATGACTTTCAGGAGCCCAGATAGTTTTCTTATCAGGCTGGAAAACTCTGTAAGGGATTATTTTCACTAACTCGGCATAGGGAAAAAAAAATCCAAACAATAACAACAAGAACAACAAACACAAACAAACAAACAAACAAACACAAAAATAAAACTGAAAACCAATCAACCAAAAAAAAAAAACAACAACAAAAAAAACCAGGAAAAAACACCAAAAAACCAACCAAACAAAAAAACCAAACACTTGTGAGAAAAGCCTAGCTGGCCATGAAGTTGAAAGTAATTTACAATTGCAGTTCCTTTTTCTACCACGTTCATTCATGCAGAACAGAATCTTTTCCATACATTCATTTTTGCTTTTAGTAAATATTTCCATGTTTGAATTGACAGGATGTTGCTCTGATGGTTTCTCTTATCTTTTTGGTGCTTGGTGCTTGTTCTGCAAGTTAAGCTGTATTTACATACAACGTTTCCGTAAAATACATCAGTATGTCAATATGAAAAGAGACAACACACTATTGGAAGGATAAAACCTAGTTTCTTACTTACATTCTCACCTCTATCTTAATAGACATCACCAGAATGTTAAAACACTCATGACACTTTCTCTAAAACAGAGATGACTACAGAGCATACCTGTCAGAGGGTAACTGTGCCTCCGCAAGTTTGACTACGGTAGGAAATATATCCATGTTACTTGTTGGCTCATCAATATAGGTACCAGCCGGTATCACTCCAGGCCAACGGAGAAGACCTGGTACACGAATACCTCCTTCCCAGTTTGTTGATTTTCCACCTGTAAAATTAGTTTTGTTTGCTGAGAAATCAACTTCTTCTTAGATAATGCTCCCTCCACAAGAGTCAATTTCCAAATATTAAACATTCTGCTTAGCTAGAACCTTTCCATTAAATGTATTTATCTTATTTTTACTTTGTTAGATTTTCCACCTAGAGTAGTACTTTATCACAGTAAATTTTGTATTAGTATTTAGTATAAATAAACTAAATAAACATATTTAGTTTACAAAAAGGTAAATAGTTGCAAGAGATTAAAAGGCACTTTACAGGAATCTTCATATAAAATTTGGTCTAGATAGTGTGTCCCATAGCCTATTTTATTCATGTATCTCCCTTTTTCAAATAAAAAAAAAAGAAAAAAAAATTACAACAAAGTACTTCAAGAGCTCTGTTTCCTCAGCCTCTTAAACCTCCAAAACACTTCATAGATGTCTATACCTTTGGTGCCAAGCTCAGGCCTTGCTATATTTATATGTTGTCCATTTTACTGAGTCCTCGATGATCTTTTCTATTTCAGCAATAGTGGTTTCAGAATCCACCTGGTTTTCTACAGGTTTTTCACTGTTCGTAAAGGTAAAAAAGACAGAAAATTCTCTTTTGCAGAGATATTTACCTATATATATATATATACATATTCTTGTGGCTGAAAGAGTATTAGCACATGAGTCCTTGTTATATCAAATTTTTGCTTACATTTTTCATGGGCTTTATCAGAATTCATAATATTGACTAGTCAGAGACACATCTAGTCTGCAATCAGAAAACTCAGACTTTCTAATATCCAGCATTATGCCAAGCAACAATATTTCCTTAAGTTGTTTTTGGAAAACAGTGCCAAGATCAGATCTCAACAAGACTACCTGTTTTCTAGAGCACTGTTAAAAGTTTACTCCTGTCAGTGAGTCAAATCTAATTCCATTCACATGATAAAGTGTTTGGCTACCTATTCTAAAACTCAAGAATGAGATGCATGTACTATTTTTGTTTACATTCTCATAAAAAATATGATTTTTCAAAAAAAAATGTAAATTTAAGTTCATAAAGTTGTTATCTGGGGAGGTGTAGAACACCTGTTGCCTAGCAAAAGGAAATGTTCGCCCAACAGTATGCTGCTTAGTTGTTAATTTTGTTAGGTCAAGGTCAGAGTAGGTCTCAATAGACTGTGTACATCTTCTGTAGAAAAGATTACTCTATTCCTGTACAACAATCATTAGATTCTTCAAAGTTCGGTGGGATTAGATGTTAGCTAGCAAGAAAAGGTCAAGACTGAGCTATGGTGCATAGAAAATCCAGTTGAGTGGGAGTAGTTAAATCCAAATAAGAATTCAAGAACAGTACAAGGACATAAAATTACAGACATTTTCAAATTAACATACTTTCTGTGAACAGCTATGCCAGGGAGATAATTTAGTTCATGAGCCAGATCCTAGTTCTGTGTACCCATCACAGCAGTTTTTTGGCTGAACAGTATCAACAGACAGAAAACTCCAAGAGTCGACCTTTATCATAGGTAGCTTTAAGTGTGAGGTTCCTTTTATTTCTGTGTACAGAACCCAGTAACAGTGCTAGCTAGATTGGATTGCTTAAGTAAATTCTCATTACACTGTTGTCTCCTGTGTAATCTGAAGACAGAAAAATTTCAAGATAAGGGGTGAACCTGATTCCCACATGCTGCAATTCTTAAAACCTAGATATTGTGTCACTTTAACAGCTCTTAGGTTGACAGCGCAATTTTCTTGAATCACTACAGAAAAGGTCAGAAAAGTTGCACATTACCCAAGCACAAAGGAACTCTGCAAACTCCGACTCTCCATTGTAAGATACAAAAAGCAAAATGGACTCCACAGTAGGGCTATATCTTCACTTATGTCTGTGAAGAAGTGACTGCGGTTTTCCTTTCAAAAGGCTAATTGGAGCATAATTTTTTTATAGCTCTGGAGATTGGGAATAGCAGGGAACCAGGGCAGGAATTACAGGTCACTGCAGAAGACCGTCCTCTATTATCTATGCTTACGTGGTATTCATTTTTATTACAATAGTGTTCAGTGACATCACTAGAGTTGCATAATGGCATTATGTGATTACAAATAGCTTGACATATATGATTTTTAAAAATCTAGCTGTTAAACTTTTTTCAAGCATTCTTCTCTGCATTCTTTTTTCCTAAAACTCTAGCTGTTAAACTTTTTTCAAGCATTCTTCTCTGCATTCTTTTTTCCTAAAAAAAAAAAAAATCAAGTTTTTACTTCTGATGCTTGAAACATGAAGCAAACCTCCAAATAGCTAAAATATGAGAAGGGCAATAAAAAAATCCACAAAATATCATTATTTAAAAAAATCTCTTAATATTAAGGATCTGACTCACTAGTTTTGTATTTTGCTTGGACTTGACAACACTTAAATGGAGAAAAGACAGCAACCTAGTAGTCTATATGCCTTGCAAACTCTAGGTAGCCTAGCTATATATTATTTTTGTTCTCTTAAATTCTTATAAAAGTTTTTTTTTAAAGCATAAGATACACCAAGCTGCATCTTCATGCTTAGCTATCTATGCTTTCTGAGTGGTTGCAGCTTTCAGTGTTATATTGAACAATAGCCTATGTTTACCTCTCCTGAAAAATCCGCAGGAGCAGGCAAAATACATAACTCTCTGCAGTAATCCACAACATGATGTCAAATTTCCATTATATCCTCATTTTAAATCTTAGCTAAAAGAATACATCTTTTCTTTTTCTCCCTCTGGTTTAAATTGACTGCTATTATCTAACTCTGGGAATAGAGTTTTTATAAAGGATGATATATAAAGGGGAACTCTGTGGTAAATCGCTATTAACATGAATGATGAAAACTATTTTAAATACCTTTCTTAGATCATGTGGATTATAATCATACTACCCTTTCCTTCCTTCATATATTCTTATTAAAAAAAGCTTCTAAACCCAATTTATTGTCTTGAATGATACAGAAATACAAAGAAATTAATTATTCTACCCATATGTAGTATACTTTATGCTACAAATATCAACAATCTATTGTTTACCTTATAAAGCAATCAAAAACCAATTTATTTTCAATGGCAAGTTCAGTCTTTATTTTACTGATTTTTAACTTGTTTCATGTACTGTTTTTGTTAATTTTCAATCTGAGCTGTTCTTGTACAGGTGAGTGGAATAGACATGATTCATTTGGACATCTCTTCATCCAAACTTTCTTCCAATCCAAGGGAATGATCTCTCAGGATACTCTTTGTTTCAGTCAAAATTACAAGATGGGTTGATTATTTAAAAATCTTGACCACTTCAGAGAGAATATAAAAATACAGTACATCTGAAAAAAAGGTAAACTCCTGCTTTCATTCAAGTCAAAAGCAAAACTTCAATAAATATCCCTAAATATGCCATAGCATGGTCCCTGGGGCCAATGGTCATCTTGATTTCTCTGTAGGAAAAGTTTACTAATAGCTTCAAGAAAATCTGCTGAACTAACTTGTCACTGAATGTATAAACTTATATTAAAATAATAAATTTGAATGACTTATTGGATAATTGATTCCTCCAGTTGTTGTTTAGGTCTCACAGATCTGTAGTAGATTTAAAAAAATCAGGGTCTAAGTCCTTAGGAAACACTCATTATTATTTTTCATGGATATTAACAAATAACGATGATAATACCTATTTCTAAGGCACAAAGCACTCACAATGAATGTTGTTCAAATAGTTTGCCATCATCAGTGTTGGACTCCACTTCCACTAGCAGCAGAACTCATGACCCACTCTGGCATGAGTGGGTGGCACAACAGTAGCCTAGTGCCTGTATGCATTGCACTAAGCGCTTCAGAAGTACAAAGAAAGACAATGTTTCTAATGCACAAGTCTGAGGTACAGGAAAAATATATCTATCCAAAAGAAGCTGACAGTAAGAGATGCAAGGAGACTCCACAGAAATCCTGTACATAACAGAGTGGGATAGACATCAACAAGTGACAATGAGGGAGGACTTCTACTGTCTGCATATGTACCAGTGAAATAGTATAATGAGAAAAAGTGTGGAGAAAAGTTTTTATTGTCATTACTGTTTACTGCTATAGATTATATACACATATATATATAATAACACACTGAAGCCAGTTCAAGAAATTACTCACTAAGAAATTAAATAAAAATTACCACAAAATATTTAGATTTAAAATCTCAGGGTATCAAAGAAGAATACAGTGCCATCCTTTAAACCAGTCATCTTACACTGGTTGTTTATTCCATGGAAAAAAATTCTGTTCATTTATTTACTCTATTCACCTTATTCTAAAGTAGAGATCTGAAGTATTTTGAAAAACTAACCTTATTTCTGTTCCTAAAGGTGACTATGGTGACTAGCTGAAATGAACATGCTTCAATGGGATACCTAGTGAAAAACACCTAAGGAGAAGTCAGTGCAGGTATCCTGGAAATCATATACAAAACCAATACCTCACTGTTCCATCCCTTTTAACAGAGAGATGTCACAGAACTGAAAAAAAAATGTTAAAAAATTACACAGAAAGTTTTAATAAGAGACTTCAGTTACACATAATAGTGTCCATATTTCAATCTAAAAATATTAATATTAATGTATTATCACATATGCATCCAGGAGTACTTCATAAGTTCAGGTAAGAAGACCTTGAGCTCTTGGGAAGAAATTCTTATTAAAATAGCCACTATTTTTTGCTTTAGAAGCTGTATCTAGATTTAAACCTTTTAAAGATCTTTGACAAGGACCTTCAGGAAAAATTACTGGAACATTAATCATGGGTTAGGAGACAAAAGGTTGTCATGAATCAAAATCTAGCAGGCAGGAAACAAAAAGATTAAACAAAGAGCCTGTGACCCTTTGCAAAAGCAAGTCAATAGTAAGGTACCTTGATGCTACTCTGTGTTAAACCCCTTACTATTTTAATATATTTCCTTCAGTTTTGAAAGAGAAGTGAGCCATGGAATTGAAAAATACACATGACACAAAGTATCAGAGGTTGATCAAATTCAGAAGAAAAGATAATGCCTTTCATACCAAGTTGGATGAACAGGAAACGATGCAACTTCAAATTCTGTAAAAATATTTGCAGCACAATGAACATTGGAGAAAAAAATAACTGAACTAGGGTCTATGGTCTTAGTTATTCAGACTATAACTTTCACTGCATACTTTAGAAAAAGAACTCATACAAAGACTAAGGCTTTATGCATATCTGTAATCAGTAAGATACAAAGTCAATAGGATGAAATGGATAATATTAAGAAGTATATGGACAAGTTGACACTTAATGGAAAAAACCAAAAGGTTTTGACCTGTAAAGTCATTTTAAAAAATACATTGCACAATTAGAAATAATTCACAGAGGAAAATAACAAGAAATTAGGGACAAGAAAAAACTCATCAATTAAGATTGATAAGAGAGACAGAAGAGACAATTATCTTATGAATGAGGTATTAAAGGCAAGGAGGCACCAGAGAAGTATTTAAAACAAAGGTAAGCCAGGGAAAATATAAAACCTTTTCCCTCCTTTATTCTATATCAGAGAGTTGAAATGAAATTAAATTTGCAACTGTCCTATTTCAAAATAGTAAATGGAAGCACTGTGTTCTCATTGACAAGTGATAGAGGATATGCTCAGAATTTAAAAAAACTCAGAGTAGAATTTCATTTTCATATGATGAAAAATTATATAACTAATGCGAAAAATTTTTGTGGAATCTCAATTGTCAGGATTCACATCTTTAACCAAGGTCATACTATCTAGGATTAGGAGATCTTCTTAGGGATTTTCTTATTTACTACACAGATTCTGATCCTGATAACTAAATGTCAGAAAAAGGCCACTGGAAAGAGATTTTCATCCATCACTTCACTATTACTATATAATGTCTTCTGAAAAAGGATACTGCAGAGATAAACCAGACTGTGTATGGCAGCAACTGCTTAAACACTGTGTTAGCTCTAGTTTTCAATTTCAAGGGCTATCCAAATTTATAGAGACTGTTCCATAGTCAGAATTTAGGGCAATAAAACCTTCAAATAGCAATTTCCCCTTTTTGCATCCAGTCTTGTAGCACTGGTCTAAGTCTCCAAACACCTCTTAAATTTTATCATTGGTGCTTATTTGGCTGGATATCAAGACAAATTAGTGAGTTAGAGTTGTGGAGATCTGTTGAGAGCTTTTGATTCTAGGGCAGAACCAACTATTGCTGAGCATACCGCTCCAGCTCTGACAAGAGGGTTAAGTGGCTTGATTCATATTCGCATTTATACAGCACTCATATACAAAAAGATAAGTAGTTGAGATTGACTGGCAGAAACAGGGAGAAAGGTCGTATATGTCTCCCAGTTTTTTAAACTACTCATCAGATGAAGCAAATTCCTAGTGTGCGCACACACGAGCACAAGTAGCATAAAGATGGTCCTTTTGCTTTTTTAGGCACACTGCTATATCAGTGCCTGAGACTTGGGACTTCACAGATCTGGTCTCATTAACTCTGCCAGAGATTTACACACCTCTAACACTTTTCATCACACATGACTTTTAATATTAACAAATTCCTATGTATGAAAATTGCTAATTATGTAATTAATTGATCATTTCCACTTCAGCCCTTTTGAAAATGATGCATAATATACCTGTTAAACTAAGGACGGATATGGAGATGGAGGGAGTGGAAGATAAAGCAGAATTCATTGTATTTTAAAATGGTAAAAGTATATTCAACTGATTGCATGGGTCTTTTAATTTCTTTTTATTTTATATGAATGTCTCTCATCAAATAATGATTTTGTTTCTTACATTGTGATTATTTTCCAACCCATTGTATATTACATTTGCCAGCACAGCACAGTAAACAGAATCACAGAATGACAGAATCAACCACGTCGGAAAAGACCTCTGAGATCATCAAGTCCAACCTATGACTTAACACCACCTTGCCAACTAGACCATGGCACTAAGTGCCACATCCAATCTTTTCTTAAACAGCTTCATGGATGGTGACTCTACCACCTTCCTGGGCAGCCCATTCCAATGCTCAACCTCTTCTTCTGTGAAGAACTTCTTCCTAATGTCCAATCTAAAACTTCACTGGCACAGCTTGAGACTGTATCCTCGTGTCCTGTTGTTCATTGCCTGGGAGAAGAGGCAGATACCCACCTGGCCTCAACCTTGTTTCACATAGTTGTACAGGGTGATAAGGTCTCTCCTGAGCCTCCTCCTCTCCAGGCTAAACAACCTCAGCTCCCTTAGCCACTCCACACAATTCATTAAAAAAAAAAAAAAAAAGTCCCATTATTACCCAAGTAAACCCATCAATCAGATTTTTTCATGAATCCAGGTAAGATCTATTTCAAGTTTTTCTTTGTTCTGTAAGTATGAATACAAAATTTTGCAAGGCTTGAGAGAAAAGACTTCATTCAATCAAAGTTCCTCAGGAAGGCATATTCCCTAGTGTATTTGACTTTTTTTTCCTCCTCACCATTTATCCTGTATCTTATGTCTGGCACTCAAGAAGGCAAATATTTTTTAGAGCTTCTAAAACACCTCAGGCTGTGCCTACAGCTACAGATATGTAACCATATGGTTCCTTAATTACTTAAATCACTATGTAAGGCCTGTGTGCTAACATTCAAGGTACATTTCACTCTGGTGTTAGCCCAAGGGGACCCATCTGATAGACAGACCTCGGGACTTTGGCATTGTTTGTTTTGCTGCTGTAGCATTTCCTTGGCAATTCTCTTAAAATATAAGGGTCGTTTCTCAGATATCTATTGACTAAAAAACTGTGGAGTCTTCTCGCTTGAAAACCTCATTGTATTGTTACTGCTTACTTTTGTGCCTATATTTTTTCCTTTCTGAAGTTTTGCAGATGATATAACACTGTGAAGCTACCATCCAGAAGGACCTTTAGAGGCTTGGAGAAAAGGGCCAAATGGAACCTCATGAAGTTCAGCAAAGGAAATACCAAGCACAGCAGTAACCTCTAGCACCAACAAAGTCTGGGGGATGACTTGCTGGAAAGCAGCTCTGCAAAGGGTCCTAGTGAACAATTAGTGGAACATCAGCCAGCATTGTGCTTTCTGGCAAGGAAGGCCAACATCATTCTGAGCTGCATTAGGAAAAATGTTTCCAGCAAGTCTTATTCTCTGCTCAGCACTGGTGAGACATACCTGGAGCACTGGGTTCAAGTGAAGAACTCCCTAGTACAGGAGACATGGACATACTGGAGTGAGTTCAAAGGAAGGCCACGACAATGATTATACAGCTGGAGCATTTGATATATGAGGAGAGACTGAGAGAGATGTTCAGCCTGGAGAAGAGAATGCTTAGTGGGATCTTATCCAGCTGTAGGGATACATGGATTTACATGAATAAAGAGGACAGAGCCAGACCCTTCTCAGTGGGGCCCCTTGACAGGACAAGAGGCAATGGGCACAAACTAAAGCACAGAAAGCTTCATTTAAACATAAGAAAAAGATTTTTTTTATGGTGGGTGTGATTAAACACTGGAGAAAGTTGCCCAGAGAGGCTGTGAAGTCTTCATCACTGGAGATTTTCATAACTTGATTGGATATAGTCCTGAGCAACCTGCTCTAGCTGACCCTGCTCTGCAGGGGCTAGGACTGCAGATGCCCTCCAAACTCAACTACTATGAGATCTTTTAGTTCTGTGATACTATATTAAAAAAAATCATACCTAAGGGCAATTTACTTCTTTCTCTCTACAACTAAAAGTTATAAGTTTGGTAAATGACTTTCCAAAAATTGATGGATTTCTTTGATCTTGTCCCCTGAAATATGAGTGGAAAACAAATTACACAGCCACTACCCAGTGAAAGAATGAAAAGAATTTAATCTCTGGTAAAAAAACACAAGGATACTCACTGAATTTTATTAAAAAGAATGAAAACAAGCATTCTTACTGTATTTCAATAAGATTGAAGATTTGACCTTGTCCACAAAGTACATTACAGTTTTGGTGCAAACCCAAAATGATAGCTTTTTCCCTTGCATTTTTCAAGAATAATCAGAGAATGTTCACCTTTATATATGCCATTGTATCCTCCATGGACTTCTCCAGCACTAGAAATTTCTTCAACATGTGCCCCTTGGTCAGATGTAAAGTATACAAGAGTTTTGTCACTCAGATTATGTTTTTCCAGCACATCCAGAACTTGTCCTAGGGAAAAAGAAAATAAATGAATACAAAGTCAAAAAAAAAGGACAGCCTTAGTTTCTTTGAGTGACTTTTTCATTAGCCTTGGCACACACAAATATTTTTTTCCTTATGCCTTTTTGAGACCACTTTCCACATAAACTCTATCATACATAGCAATTGGCACCATGCAGCATACAGTAGGGGACAACTGCACAAGGCTTTTTGCAATCAGGACCACAGTTCGATTGCTGCAGGGTTTCTTGAAGTATAAAATTAGAAGATTTGTGCACATCAGAGAAAAGGGCTGATCCACAGAGAGCCTGTGACCTTTGGAAGCAGTTGGTCTCAATCAAGGAAGTCCCTCAGTAAAAAGATTCAAGCTGCTGAGGATATCTGAAAGTGTTTCAGCATGCAGAATAGAGCTCACAGTTTGGGGGTAAAGCCTTGCTGCCTAGCAACTATAGAGGCAGCATGGTAGAAATCTCAGTGTGAATGTTAAGACATTCTGAAAAAAAAAAAGGAAGAGAATGTATGTAGTGCCTTTGGAGACCACATGGTTTAATTATCAAACCTACTAATTAGTCCTTAATATCTCATCACATAAGAAGATATCAACTAAACTCAAAATGTGTTAGGTAATAAACACACACAGGTGCATGTATTTAAAAGAAGCATCTGCATGGATACGTAACTGTAAGGCAATATGGGCTCATGTTTCATTTTCATAAAAGGTTCCTCACGCTACCTTGGCACTGTGGAGAGTCTTGCAGTGTACACAAATTACACTGAAACCCATTTAGACTGAGTTCCTTAAAGGGTGTTTCTCTATGAATGAGAGTGAAGTTGCTACTTGTAACTTGCTCCAGTGAATTTTATACTGATTAGGAATCTAAAATTATTGGTCCTGGAAAATGACCAAAACTTAAGAATATAATTCTTTACATCAGCCTGCCAATGGGCTCTAACCTTGTCCTTTAGGGATCTCAGAACATTTTATCTTTAACCTTTTTACTTAAACATTCAAGAATGGTCCAATTTGAATGTTAATTTTGATTTGTTCACCTGTCCACTAAGAATTAATTCCTCATCTGATGCCCAATTATTGTGTCAAAGAAGATGAGATAAGGACTTTTAAATGATTTTCAGATCATCATTTCAGTTGCTATGTCCTTTTTCTGGATAAGGAGTAGTTAGTTTCTTAATGCTACTATTTCTAGTTGACTTTTAATGTTGTAGCATTCTAAAACTACCTTGTTAAAATGGTTGACTGTCTTCATTTCTCATCAGCTTAGATGACTGGATCATGAATAAAGGAACACCAGCATTTAAATACCTATTCATCTTGTATGTAAACTAGGAGCAAAGAAGAAATGTAAGAGTAGGAGAATTTGTTTATGTAAATTTTGAAGCCTCGTGGGAGTTGAAATTTCCCAACAGAGATGAGGAAAATCTGTTACAAAGGCTGACATTTCAAAGTTGGTGGGTTGAGGAAAAATCATGCAGATCCATCTTGCTGCATAAGGTGGACTTAGTGCCAGAAAAGAGAGAGGCAATTTCCCATTTGCTTCTGAGATTCTTTGGAGAATGTACTTGCTAAGTAACTACAATATCCCTTGGAAAGGTGATGATAAAAATGATGATAAATGATGATAAAAAAGCAGAGTATAAAGATAAATTAGGACATTATGTGTAGGTATTCAGCCACATGACCTCCAGAGTTCCCTTCCAACCCATATCAATCTATGATTTTATGATATTATGACAATAATAATAAATGGTATTGTGAAAAGAAATATATGTACAATGACGTGCACAACAGCATTTTTTTACATACGCCATTTTCCTTTATGAAACCAAACTTTAAAATTCATCAATAACAAAATTAAAATAAAATTAGAATTGCACTCAGCATATCAAATTAAATGATCTCTGGTGATCAGAGACATTGGCAATCATTCAATAACGGCCATTTTGATTCCCTAATTAATTGGGGAAAAAATGAGAAGCAATGAAAAATGTCTTGCTATCACAGATAATTAACCTAAAATTTAAAAATTAATATCAAATACGTAAAACATTATGATGACATTTTTATTTAGTTTTTGTAACAGAGTTGAGTAGCCTGACTTTGCCTGGAAAAAAAAAAATTCTGACACTCAAATGTTTCCCATTTTAGAAAAAATACACCCCAATAAAATGTATAGAAATTCTGTTCTAAAACCTCCATTTCCTTCAAATGAATTTTTAAACCAAAGAGGATTGGCTACATTAGAGCTAATTCATGAATGCTAAAATGACAATTAATTTTAGAGCAACTACAGTTTTCAGTACAGGTGGACTAATAGTGGTAATTCAAATAACATTATTGTCAGAGAATGGCAATCATAATGCACTCACAGAAATGAAGCAAAACTTCCATTTCTGTTTTGATCTTGAACACTGACACCTTCTAGAATGAAAAATATAAATAAAGAGCAAAGTGTGTGCTGTCAGGAGATAAGCCACATTTAACTGCATTTGAATGAGGTTACTATTGTTCACTTAAGCAATACATTCATTTTTTAGTATTTCTAAATGGTAACTAGTACAGAAAAATGAAAATAATGCCTTGTGGATCTCTATGAACAGATACCTTTTATTTGCAATATTACATGAATTTTGGAAGCAAATACTACCATGAAGGAAAAACACAACCTTTACCATTTTCTCATAAAAATTTAATTTCTTTTTAAGTCTAACTCATCCTCTCTCACTACTCCTGTATATTTCAGAGACTTTAGAATTAAGTTACAATTGATGTATAAACATTCCCAGGCAATGGCAGTTAACCTATTTTATCTGCCTTTGGAAGAGGTGAACTGTAAAAAGACCTTTTATACCTGTTGACTAAAAAGAAAAGATAGGCAACTAACTCAAAACTAAATGCCTTCATACCAGACATCAAGGACAGTAAGATGAATTGTACCCAAAGTGCTAGACATGCAACTACATGAGCAACACACTTTAATGAATGTGGTGAACAGATAAATGATGTCTGCTTAAGAGATAATGGTAAAACTGTATTGCTTCACCCATAAAATATGATGGGAAGTATGTTACATATCATGTGTTCTTGAATTAGAGGAATTGGGCTTCAGCTGGCTGAAGTTCTTCTGCTGGTTGCAGAGAGCAATACAAATTTTAATAGCATTTTTGGATGTAAAGAGTTTATACAGGAAATGAAACTCTAGGATAGATAAGTCAAAACATCAGGAAAACCATAGCTTTGTTCAAGCAACAATACCTTGCTGTCCCCAGAGTAGGAAATTATCAATAAAAATGGAAAGAGTTTTGATTGGAAAAGCTCACTTGAAAGCCATGTTCTAAAGAATTAACAGCTGCATTGATCTCTGTGGATGGTACCATTTACATTTTTTCCGATTTAAACAGAACATATTTGGAAAGACAACATTTCTGAATATCAAAATCAATCTAACTGAAGGAGCTGCATAATTTCTGAAGCCATTTAGCAACTAGAATTTCAGATCAAGTTCCTCCTACTATAGTCATTTTAGCAATATATATCACAATGTACGTGACTACCATTGTAGCAGACAAAGGTATTAGATCACTGGACATTTTAACTTCTTTTATATTTTTTTTAGGTTAAGGACACTGTTAAGATGTTACTGGTTTTAATTAGTACATCAGTGTTCAAAAATTTAAGTAAAACTCCCTCCACAGTATACTGAGGACTGCTCTCCATATTCTGCTCTCCATTCTTGCTTCAAGCTTTGTAAATCATAAAGAATTATTTCATTTGGAATGTGAAAATGCCAATTTCAGTGAATTGGTAGTCATGTGAAAGTGAGAAGAGCAATTGACTCAGTTCTTTGGAAGGCAACACAGTGCCATGCCACTATTCAACTTCTGTAGGACAGCCTGAATAGTAGCTGAATCAGCTTCTCTAATGCTGAATGTAATTTCTGAGTTTTGAATTTTGTAAAGCTCCTACTGTACTTATCTACATGAAGAGATAAGGTTTATAGAAAATGACTGTTCATTTGAAAACAAGGTACAAACATTGAAAAACAATAATGTATTTACAAACGTGTTAGTGATTTGGAAAATTGTTCAAAGGTTCAGTCAAGTAGGAATATGAACGATTGCACTTTACTCATAAATTAGTCTGCTGTAATTTCAAATCAATAGGAAAATATGTTATTTGTACTAATTTGAAATAATTTAGAGTATTGCTGAAACTATGAATAAAAAGCTACAGAAAACAGAATACCTCTGTGTAACCTAAGCAAAAGAACAAAATAGTCTCTCTACTTGTAAGGAAAGCTTTAAAGCAGTTTTCCAGATTCAAAGAAAAAACTAGATTCAGAAGGATGGTTAAGGATCTGCCTCAGGAAAAGACAGCTGACAATAAACAAAAATCCTGTAAATGCAACATTCTTTTCCCACTCCAGCAGACTTTCACATGCCTCTCATATCTAGAAACTTACAGCAAGCTTGAAACAACTATTGGACAAAGGGTCCAATAGATCAGCCACCACATCATTGCCTAGAATAGGCAGTTTGGTTGTCATTGGGACTTTATTCTTTTTATTTCCTGTTCAGAATTTGCTACCGCTGCTCATATTTGGTTTCAAACAGCATCATTAACCAGAATCACAAGTAACTTGTAGTCAGCTCTAGGGGTTCACCTCTGTGAGTGGCAAGCCTTTGAAACAAATGCATAAACTCCTACAAGTTAATGCTACGTGCATAAGAATCTGGAAACCCACATTTCTCCCAGAAAATATATTGATGCCATTCAACTATATACCTACCACATAGTAAACCTCTTGGGAGCCCCTTCCTGCTACAGCAGTTTAAGGTAATGCCACAGTTAATTGTCTATTCAGTTTAAGATTTTCACCTTATAAAAACTTAACGTTGCAACTTCTGCATACCATTATTCACAAGTTAACAATCATTTTAATCTCTATGTTGATTTTCTGTGATAACAAAAAGATACTTCACTCTAATGCACT